GTATCTGACAGAACCCATCCCACATGTTTTAATCACTTTCTCTTATTTTCAGGCTCATCGGGAGCTCAAAAGACAGTTTCTCCTCATCTCCTGCACCCCCCTCCTTCTTAGGACCTCATCAGATGCAAGTCCTCCCCCGTTTCCATGAACTTCTACATTCCAGGGACACAGTGCTACAGATGAGAACCAGAAGTAGTGTTATATTGTGTTAAGGGTTCCATGCCACTTTGTCCTTGAAATGTCTTAAAAGTATGTGGAAATGAGAGAGGATTTGCATCTGACGAGATCAAAAGAGCCAATGTGGTCTAGTGGTTTGAACCATTTGACTATGACTATGGAGGCCAGAGTTTGAATTTTTGCTCAGCCATGAAAACCCACCTTGAACAAGTCACACTCAGGGCTCTCCCACACCATCATATAACCCAGAATATCAAGGCAGAAAATCCCACAATATCTGGGTTATCTGAGTCCACACTATCATATATTCCAGTTCAAAGCAGGTAATGTGGGATTTTATTCAGATGTGTGGAAGGGGCCTCAGTCTCAGAGGACAAATGTTGTATCTTCTGAGGGGAATTATAAGGTCACCATAAGAGAGTTGACTTGAAAGCACAAAATTTTCTGTTGGGTGGTTGATGGTGATTATGTTGCATAGCCCATTGTGTTCTCATGGCTTATGGGATAAACGATGGCAACATATTTGACTTGTTACTTATTAATATATTGCAAGCATTTCTTATGATGTCCTCCACCATGATTGCTTTCCTAGGCTTAAATGTAGCTAACTCTGTGTTGGATTCAAAGCATTTATCACTAAGAGATAGGCAGGCAAGCCAACCATGGAAAATAAAAATTAACTGCTTTTGTTGGCAGCTAATATTTGTTTGTTTCCTTGTTTTCTCCGTTTAAGGAAATTGAACAACTTTCTATACTTCCTCTAGGGATGCTTGCAATGTTGAAAGTCAAGCTCAATTAATCAGTTAATGAACTCCACAACATACAAAGCAATAGATCCTCGTGTTGCTGATGAATTCTCAGATGCAACATTAAATGTTATAAAACCAAAAGTATGTCATACTTGTAATTATGCATTATCATCACCAGCTGTATAATTTTTGCATTGATAACATTTGGAGGGCCCTCACAACTAAGTGAGAGTTTTGCTTGTAATTGAAACAGGAGACTCAAAAAGATTCAGCTAGACCAGTCAAAAGTAAACCATGGTTACACCACAAAAATAGAAAATTAATATGTTATAATCCATCAAAACTGTAGTGGGAATTAGTCGCAGATAATGGGAAAGTGAAGCATCTGGTCAAGATGACAAATTAATATTGCAAGAAAATTGCTGAGTGTTTTTTGAGATTCCAGATAATTGGGATTTTTGCCATGTCCTCTTGAAAGTGGTTTCTAATTTTCTGTTACCCTATAGAAAAGCAGAAAGAATCAATGTATAGGCACTCTATTGTAATGCTGCTTCACTGTTTAGGTACGTAGTATTGCTTTTCCTATAGATTTTGTAGTCCAGATAATCAATGTTCCACAACATGAACAGAATCCCTTCTGTATTGTAGGCATTTATGTAATAATAATAATAATAATAATAATAATAATAATAATAATAATAATAATGCGCCAAACTCCTCTGGGACTTCGGGATTCAGACAGACAGAGTTTTGGAGCATAATACTCCTGACCTCACAATCATGTTAAAAAACAAAGTATGGATCGTCGATGCCACAATCCCAGGTGACAGCAGGATTGCAGAGAAACAACTGGAAAAGCTGACACGATATGAGGATTTTAAAATCGAACCGCAAAGACTCTGGCACAAACCAGTAAAGGTGGTCCCAGTGGTGATCGGCACACTGGGTGCAGTGCCTAAAGACCTTGGCCTGCACTTAAACACAATTAGCTCTGACAAAATTACCATCTGCTAGCTGCAGAAGGCCACCTTACTGGGACCTGCACACATTATTTGCCGATACATCACACAGTCCTAAACACTTGGGAAGTGTCCAACGTGTGATCCAATTCAACAGCCAGCAGAGTGTCTGCCGTGGACTCATCTTGTTGTGTTTCAAATAATAATAATAATAATAATAATAATAATAATAATAATTGTTATCTTTATTTATACCCCGCCACCATCTCCCCAAAGGGGTCTCAGGGCGGTTTACATGAGGCTGAGCCCAGAAATAAATTACAGCAAAATACAAAAAATAAACCGAAACAACAGAACTAACATCACAATAAGATAGCTAAAACATATGAATACAATAGAACAAAACAAAATAAAACAGAACAAGATAATGCAATGAGAAACCAATCAATCACAATGAGCGGGCCACATGTACAACATAAAATGATACTTGCTAGCATCACCATCATCCCATGATTAAAGATGGGGACTATTATTAGAGATATGGCATGTGTTCTCAGCTGCCCGAGTGTTTAAAGGCATGAGGAAGAGAGTTTTTCAATCAAAAGGCTAGATTGCCTGTAAGAGGAAGGGGACACATGACACAGTCATTTTGGAGCCAGGCACTTTTAGACCACAATCCTGTTAATTCAAACAGTCCAGGTTTGGCAAGGACAATCTCTCTTAATCCTCTATCGTCTTGCTTTCTCAGCTAGCTTCAAAATATCAATTTGTCTCTCTCCTCTACCCAATTTCCCCTCTTTGTTCCCAACCTACTTTAGTTGTTGCAAACTGAGTTTCAAAGTGCAGACATAGTTACCATTTGACTCGGCAAGGGGAAAAGGAGAGGAGTAGTGGAGTATTCCAGTTCATAAACTCAGTACATCAATTCCAGGATCTCTATGCTTAAAATAGCATTTTGTATGCACAGTACTTCCTCATTAATAACTTCTCTTCTCTTGTTCTCGGCCACATACTTTTGGCCACACGTGTCTCAGTTTTTATCTGTGAAGTGTGAGAGGATATGTTAGCAACATATTTGTGTGTGGCTTATATGTGTGTACATCTATTATAGATGGGGTGCAGTAGGCAGGCTCTGTGAACCATCCAAAAGAGACCCTCCCCAAGATTCCTCCTTTTCGCTTGCTTATCCATGGAAGATGAATCAATTTCAATGATGAAGACGTAGTTGATCTAGTCTCTGGAGGAACAAGAAGAAGGGTACACTCTATTTATGAGTTCACATTCCTTATGATTCCCACAAGACATTAGAGCAGCCATATCTTCATTGGAATTCATCTCCTCCCCAGTAATAACCAGCAATGGTTCCTCCTGGCACTTGAAAGCTGACAAGGACACAGAACTACTAGAAATGGAAATTGGAGATAATTTGGGACCTTTGTTATTGTTACCATGTCACTGCTACTATAATTTTTAAGAGCCAGTATATGGAATAAGTTTTAATATTTATATTGGAAAGTGCTTATTGTACTTTTTGTATTGTACTTTTAAAGGTTGTATATTATGTGATGTCATGGCCTATGGCTGATACAATAAACCATTCATTGACACAGAACTATATAGATGGAATTACACCATACCTGGTTGGTGTAGGATCTTGGAGAATCTTATTACTTTGTATTGCTTACCTTGTTATATGTTTCTCTGGGTTTAACTCTATTCAGTTGCATGGATCCACTAAGAGAGCAAGTCAACTTAGAATTACGAAGTAACATAGAAATAAAATGAAGGTATTAGGGGTTTGTTTTTAATGCCAGGAAATGGCATATGTGATGTTCTTTAAAAGAAAACAGTCTTTTATTTAAAGACAGGTAAAGTGCTCAGCTTCTCTTCTCTGAATATTTATAATTTATTCCTAAAACATCTCAAAGAACTGCCCAGAAAACAAACAACTATTTCAAGTGGATTGTGCTGAATCCTACCTTAAGAGTTTCAAGATGAGAGTAAGATTGTGAGGATTTGTAGAAGAGAGAAGTGGTCCTTGGGGTATATTTGTTGTATACATTTGTCCAAGCAACATGTGTTTAGCAGGTGACTCAGGGAGCATAAGAGTTCTCTTCTTTTTTGTGACCTAGCATGGTAGGTATAAATAAGACTCTGCACCCCATTCAGTGAGATGAGGGAGCTGGAGGAAGTGGATTCATGTACTATAGTTTGGCTATTCCAGTTCTAAAGTTCTTAGTCAAGATAGTATTGACTAATAGATTCATAGTGTTGGAAAAGACATCAAGGGGATGTAGGTTAACCCCCTGCTATTACAGGATCAATGGCTAAAAAACTCCAAACAGCCAGCCTCCATTTTAAGATAAGTTTTGAAGTTCTTGCGTGTTGTACAAGCACGTTCTTCATGTGGAATATACCACCGAAAACTTTTTTTTCTGGAAAAGTTCTTGCTTTGTGTGTTCAACTGCATTCACCCACATTCTAACAGCATTGATTTGTTCATGCAGATTGCCTTGTGAATGTGGACACACACCTTTGTGATGTGGTATAATGGATTCAAATTGACTAAACTTGGTCACCTATTGGAGCCCTTATAGTTCTACTGTTATGGTCTCACCACCCCAAAACCAATTGGCACTGATAACTGCATCACACTCTGGTAGCATAAACTAATGTGTATATGACTGCGATTGGCAATTCATTCTCATCCATATTTATTATGATGGGCAATACTGAGAGATGAATGCATGCACCACAACCGAGAAAGGCATTACAGTGCAACTGTGAAATTTCATATTTACAAAAACTCAAAATGTGATATTCTTGTGATATTGTGCCAAATCTGGGAATTGTGTTTAAAAAACATTATAGGGTGTGTGTACCAGGAATGGCAAAGCACAGGTAAGGAGGGTGGTTTACAAGGTGGTGTGGAAAGCAGGTAGTGCAATGAATGTTCTTATGGGGACTGTGTGATAAGGCAATGCCACTGTTTTCTTGTTTTGACAGAGAAAGGGATAACAAAACTAAACATACTATTACACCATAGTGCGATAATGTCTCAAAATATTAAGTAACCTTTTCTTAACTTTGCTTGCCCTGATTTTTTAATCTGCAGCTCAGTATTTTGCAAGCATCATGGTCATTGTTGGCTTGTCGGTGGTGGTGACAGTCTTGGTTCTTCAGTTTCATCATCATGACCCTCAAGCAGGAAAGATGCCCCAGTGGGTAAGTGGCAAATACAAATCACTTTCTAAAACATACATGAAAATGTTTTATACATTATTTGAGAGATGATAGAAATAATAGAACATCTTAAAAGGAATGCTAATAGGAGAGTGACCTTGGGCAAGTAATGTTTTCTTAGCCACAGAAGAAGGCAAAGGCATCCAATCTTGCCGAGAAACAAGTCCTGCCAAGAGAACTCTGCGATAGGTTCACCTTATAGTTTCCATAAGCCAGAAAGATCTTGTAAGCACAGAAAGCACAAAGGAAAGGTTATTTCTGCTTCCGTTAGATTAGGTTTTGCAACTACCACAAATTAGTGACCCACACTGAATCTTTTATTGACCCCTCTCACTGGCCAGCTATTAAAAAGGAAAAAGAGCATTTTTGCTTCTATGAAACTCATACAAATTGTATCTGAGCTGGATCACACTTCTTGGAGCGCAATGTAACTTGAAACAAAATGCATGCTCTTGTGTGCCTAGTTTTAAAGAATGTTTATTTGGACAATTTTTTTGGAGCAGCAGCATTAGGATAGCAGGAGTCTTTAAAAAAACATGTAGGGGAGCATGTAAACTGCACCATTATTATTTTAGGCCAATTTTTGACCGCTGCTTTAGCCTACACAGTCTGAAGTCATCCTTCCTCTCTCCTGTTTCTTACTGCAGCTGACATCTGGTAGGTCACAAGTTGTGGAAGCTGAAGGTGTTGGGGTGAACAAATGTTTGGCCTTGCATGCAGATTACCCAAAGGATAGCCATAGGGAGGAGAGGCAGGCGCTAGTTCCATCAGTAGAATAGAGCTGAGAGAAAAGTTATTTCCCAAATATTGGCTAGCTGAGATAGGAGAAGAAGCTGTAGGCAGACTGTATCCAGATATTGTTTTCCTTCTCTTTATCTTTGTCCTTAATGAATATGAGGGAGAAAGACGGGAACAATTATCTGATAAAGGAGAGAGAAGAATAGCCCAAGATAAACAATGGACAGAAAAAAGCAGCTGGCTGCTCAGTCTACTGTACTTTCTAGCTTTTCTGCCTGTTTCCAAAAGAGATCAAAAAATCTCAGTAGTCAAGCTAGACTTACAAGTGGCTGTGTTATATTTTTGCCACAAGTATAACAGGTAGCCAGACTCTTAAACACTAACATATAACCTCCAAAGAAAGGCTTAAACAGGGACCTTCTGTGTGTTCACTTTGTGTCTACCACTATACCAAAGTAAAGGTAAAGGTCTCCCTTTACCTAGTTGTGTCTGACTCTGGGTGGTGCTGCTCATCTCAATTTCTAAGCCGAAGAACTGGTGTTGTCTATAGACACCTCCAAGGTCATGTGGCTGGCATAACTGCATGGAGTGCCATTACCTTCCCACCATCGTGGTACTTATTGATCTACTCACATTTGCATGTTTTTGAACTGCTAGGTTGGCAGAAGCTGGGCCTAACAGCAGGAGCTCACCCCACCCCCTGGATTTGAACTGCCATCCTTTCGGTCAGCAAGTTCAGCAGCTCAGTGGTTCAATCAGCTGCACCACCAGGGGCTCACCAAACACATCTTCAAATCTCAAGTGTAGTAAGCTTTCTGGCAATAATAATAATAGAAACTAGGCTGCTCTAACAGGTGGCTACCCAGAGTTTTAGAAGAAAGGAAATGTCATAGGAATTGCTCCCCTTGAAATAATCTTCTGCCAAGTCACTTTACCTGAATCCCTTGTTACTCATTCTTAATCTGGATCTTTCAGATATCTATCTCTGTGTATTCCAGTTCAAACAAAGCAGGTAGCAATGTGTCCTGACATGTTTTCAGGTTCAGAGTGTACATTGTAAAAAGCGTGAAGGTTGAGTTGAGCTTTTGATGTTGCTGTCCTAATGCAGCTAAGAATACGATGATATTTGCATAGCTTGTCGCTTGAAATGCGCAAGGGGCATGCTAAGCAGGACGTATAGCTTTGAACACAAGGTTGACCCAGGAGAGGTACAACGTAGACTCATCTCTGTAGCTGTGCACCTCTGATGAATACTGAGAAGTCACGTCCCTCACATAAACCAATAAAACTGGGAGCACTGTTGCTCTTGTGATTCTTGTCACATCGGCACTGTTGTTCTGTCTCTTCCCCTCTTGCATTTTTTTCCTTAGGAAAAAAAGGAAATCTATTGGGGTGATTATAGAGAATTCTGAATGGCCTTCATGGAACTCAATTGATCCCCATCTCGTAGATATCCTCTCCTATGATGTGGGGATATTTTCTAACTTTGTCTCTCAGATTATAATTAATTGCATATTGTTATGAATTATTTTCTGCCTTAAAAATAAAATTTCCATGGTGTAGGAATAGCTGTGTCAAGTACTTTACACTAAAAATGCCCTCTAACTCAATTTTTAATTAGGGGCTGTTTACATTTAGATTTAACAGTATATTTCCTACATGATCATGCTTTACTATTACCCAATGTATCTGTTAGGTCTAATACATGGCAGAAGTTATATGCAGAGGGCCTTCTGTAACCAAAGATTCTGCATCCATTGATTTCAATATCCATGGCTTGAAAATATTAAATGATAATAATAAGAATGGTGACAACCACCACTATCACCACCACCATGATAATCACCCAAGTCAAGTTCTTTTTGGAGTCAGAAACCAACCCTCCTAGTGCTTCCCAGATGGTCACTCCTCCTTCCCCATGATATCCATTGTTTGGAGGTACATTGTTTTGGTCTGGGTTTATTAGAGCTTGAGATGTTAGGCTTCAAAATAAATTACTGAGTATCACAAATGGAAAAATCAGTTTACTAATAATTTAATTGTATTGTCTTAACCAATTTACATTAATTATCACTGAATTAGCAAGTCATGGAGTTTCCCGAAAATGTATGTGGCCCATGGACGAAATGTTGTGTGAAAACATAAAGGTTAGGGAGAAGACAATTCAAGGAGGAGATGGGACGGCGATGAGGAAAAGGTTTAACTAGCCAAATGTTCAGCACTGTTTGACAAATAAACACATTAGAACAGGGGTCCCCAAACTAAAGCCCATGGGCCGGATGCAGTCCTCCAAGGTCATTTAATTGGCCCTTGACCACAACTTTAGAATTAGGGTTGCCCTAAATTTGAAATGACTTGAAGGCACACAACAACAATCCTAATTAATTTAGCTCTCTCATCAGCCAGAAGCAGGCCCGCACCTCCCATTGAAATACTGGTAAGTTTATGTTGGTTAAAATTGTGCTTGATTTTAAATAATGTATTGTTCTTTCATTTTTTTTACACTACAAATAAAACACGTGCAGCATCTATAGGAATTCGTTCATGTTTTTTCAAACTGTAGTCCAGTCCCCCAACAGTCTGAGGGATCATGAAGGACCCCTGCACTAAAGTAACACAAAGAAATTTATGAGCTAATAATAATAATATCCAATAGAAATCATAATGAGAAGAACTGAGGGAAAATAAAGCATTCATCAAGCACCATCCAGAAAGCCGTACAGGACAAAAAAAAAATTTGGGGGAAGCATCAGCCTTCAGTATTTAGCTAATATCAGGCAATTAAAATACTTTTTTCAGATAATTGATACATACACAGGGTTGTTGTAGGTTTTTCCGGGCTATACGGCCATGTTCTAGAGGCATTTTGTCTTTAAACTGAGATGGTTTCATTTTGAAACAGTGTAAACTAGCAGCATATACACCCAGTTTCTTCTTCATCTCATGTGAGTCACGAAACCACGTTTCAGAACAGGTTTGTATTATTTCTGAATTATTTATGGTTTGTTGCAACCAAAATAAGCCAGAATTAATTGTAAACCAACATTCAACAAGGATTTTATATTTTGTTCTTGATTTGCAAATTCTGGCTTCTTTGGAGCACAATAAACTATAATTCACACAGAGAAACCATTGAAATCCACAAGCATGTGGACAATTTCAACAGAAAGGAGGAAACCATGAAAATGAACAAAATCTGGTTACCAGTATTAAAAAAACTCTAAAATTGCAACAGCACAACAACAGAGGAAACAAACAAGGACATCTCATCACCTCTCAACAAAAGTTTGCTCTAGGCACTGCCAGGCCATCTAATGCTAATCAAGGTGGTCAGTTGAAACATTCACACCTAGCTCCAGCAGACAAGAGTCCTTTGTCCCACCCTGGTCATTCCACAGATATATAAACCCTTTTTCCTACTTCCAACAGACCTCACTACCTCTGAGGGTGCTTGCCATAGATGCAGGCGAAACGTCAGGAGAGAATGCCTCTAGACCATGGCCATATAGCCCGAAAAAACCTACAACAACCCAGTGATTCCGGCCATGAAAGCCTTCGACAATATAATCTCAGCTTTGGAAACAAGGCAATGCTCTCCCCTCCCCAGTTTGCCAACTCTCATAAAATGAGAAACAAAGCAACAAGGCTGCATGTGCCAGCATGCAATTTGTGTGCGTTGTGATTTGATAAGCCAGGGTTAAAATAATATATGAGAACAAGCCAATACAGTACTAAAGGGAATATCTATAATTTCCAGAAGGGCAGCTGTGTTAGTCTGCAGCAGCAAGAACACGAAAGCAGTTTTGGCACCTTGAAGGCAATATTGAAAGATATTGAAAGGCAAAAGAAAAGTCAGAAGTTAAAAGGCAAAGGGATAAGATCGCAAGTGGAAAGCAATTTTCTCCTACAAGGTTAGGCACTCTATAGCAACCAATCTGAGGGCAAGCCATTATGTAAGATGCTTTATAATTGGCACCTCACACCAAGGAAGGAGAGTAGAAGAAAAAAATAGAGATACCCTAAAGCGGCACAGCTGAAAGAACAGACGATAAGCCTGTGTTATGGAGCTGTGAAATGATTCAGAGATCTGGAGAAGAATGGTGGAAAATATCGCATCTGTAATGACCTCGTCTTTGCTTTTGCATCTGGCAGGGCTCCTTTAAAACCACAGCGCTGCCTTAGTAAATAAAGATAAATAAAGTAAATAAAGAAGAATCTATCCACAATAATGGCATGATTTGAGC